ATGCTGGAAGCTATGACACTGGTATTTCAAATGTCAACAGGATCACTCATGATAGATAGGTTTCAGCAGAGCTTACAGACTAACACAGACAAGGAAGAAAGGCCAGGCAATCTGGCCAAAACAACACTTTTATGGAGTTGATACCAATTCATCGCGACCCTATAGCACAGAGTAGAACTGCCCCACAGGGGTTTCCAAGGTTATAAATCTTTATGAAAGCAGACTGTCTCATCTTTATTCCATAGAGCAGCTGTTGAATTTGAACCACCAATCTTCTAGATAGTAGCAAAATGTCTTAATCACTGTATCACCACAATTGGCCAGTGAAAATGTCATAGAGCCCAATAGAACACTATCTGACTTTCTTGCCTTGGACACATCATTCCAAAAAATAAATAAATAAACTCACTGCCTTGGAGTCGGATCCTGCTCATAGTGAGCTCTCCTTGGGTTTCCAAGGTGGTATCACTATGGAAGTAGATTGCCCAACCTTCCTTCTGAGAAGTGGCTGCTGGGTTTGAACCACCAGCCTTCTGGTTAGTAGTCAAATGCCTTAAGCACTACAGTATCAGAGCTCCTGGACACCTCATTAGGAGGGAAAAATTGCTAAAAGAAGACATCACGTTTGGTGAAGCAGAGAGCCAAAGAGGGTGTGAGAAACCCTTGGTGAAGTGGATTTGCACAATAGTCATACGGACTAAACATGCTGGTGATTGTGAAGATGACCCAAGGCTGGGCAGTGTTTTGTCCATTTGTACATAATATAGCCATGAGTCAGAGTTGACTTGACAGCAGCTACCAATAACAACACATATAACTATAAATATACATACACATATATTTTCATATACACGTATGTATGTGTGTATAGGTTGGGAAGTAGGTAGGTAAGCAGGCAGATAGATGGATGGAGGGAGAGAGGGAGATAGGCAGGAGTATCTGTGATATCTAGATACCAAGTACAGAGAGCAGCGTCACAGGTTGTGGTGGAGGTACTTTAGGATTTAAAGAAAATGGTACCATGTTAGCTACTTGTTAGTGACAGGAAAAGTAGTTGCAAACAATTACTCTCATTTTTAAGCTCCGCTGTTTTCCAGCTTGCCTGCCAGTTGAGAATAAGAAAATCTTAAGAAAGGAAAAGAAATTTTTAACATTGTTCTCTTTCTGCTATGAAGAGCAATAAGTGTTTCTGAAATGATTCCAGTTTCTGTGCTAACAAATTGTCAGAGAAATCACATTTGATTTACTTTCATTATTCTCCTTTTAGATCCCAATTCTACAGTGTAGTGGATATAATGAATGGAGCAATAATTCTGAGTTGGTGGTCACTGTGATTGATTTAGGAGACATTTGCCAAGACAGAGACAAAGTAGTCTGAATATCTAACCAACCTATAATCTATCACAAAGTGCACCCCATAAGAGGTATTTATAAGCTCCAAGTTGCTGCTAGATACAACTATAGGAAAAATAAATTGATTAAAACAAAACAAACAAATGAAAACTGGCTAAGCTTCTTGAAAATGACAATCCTAAATTTAAGTACATGTAGACCAACCATAATGAAAAGATATTTTGCTTTGACAATCAGGTATAAATCAAGCTCTAACTAAAAACATTTATAAAAATTTTATGGGCTGAAAACGTGTTTTAAAACATTTAAAACAATTACTGCTATACTTGAGCAGAAATGCATAACTACTAACATGAAATGGTCTACCAAAACAAAACAAAACCAAACTCATGTTGTCAAGTCGATTCGACTCACAGTGACCCCTCCTTGGGTTTCTGAGGCAGTAACTCTACAGAAGTAGATTGCCCAATTTTCCTTCCAAGAAGTGGCTGGTGGGTTTGAACTGCCAGGCTTCTGTTAGTAGTCAAATGCCTTAGGCATTATGTCACCAGAGCTCCCATGAAATGGTCTAGTGAATCCATCTGCTTATGGTATTACTCTAAGACCTTACTCTGTGCAATGAAACCTAACTTCCTGAAGAACTATGGCTACACTAACAAGTTGCATACTGGTTTGTCAAAATGAGGCAGGGATAGTTCAGAGGCAGGGATATGTTTCGCAGCTTCTGACCTGTTTAAGGTGTGCAGGAGGTAAAGTTTGCTGAAATTGTTCCTCTAGTAAGTATTTCATCGGAATCCCTGAAAATAATAAGCCTGCCAGCATTCTTTCCACAATTTGGGCTCTCAAGTTCTCATGCAAGATGATTTGTCTAGGTCTTAAAGAGATGTTATGCTTTCACAAGAGAAAGACTCTCTCTTATCCCCAGAAAGAAGATACTTACGGATATGCGAGACATCATTATAATATCCAACCTTTCTAACCCATTGTAGGCAGAGTCAATGTACTATTTGGCATGATACTATTTTCTCTTGCTCTTAAACAATATAAAGATTTTATCCAGAAGTGATTAATCTAAGCCAGCTCACTGTGTACACTGCTGATTATGTTCTTCCTAAGATCAATAGCATTTAATGATTTAATAGTGCTCTGGTGGTGTAGTGCCTTCTGTTAAACAGAAGGCTGGAGGTTCAAACCCATCAGCCACTCCTCGGAAGGAAGGTTGGGCAATCGATTTCCGTGGACATACTGCCTCAGAACTGAAGGACGGGTCGCTATGAGTCAAACCCGACTCCATGGCAGTGAGTTTTGGTTTTGTTTTGGGTTCCTGCCTTCCCTACCCCCTTGGACAAAATATTTTTATCACTGGTTTTTATGATCTGATCCTTATCTGTTTTTAGTTAGATAACCAGGCTACTAACATTCAAACAACATCTAAGACAGTATGCCTTGACTGCAGATTTCAAACATTTTACAATGTGGACAATCAGAAACATTTGAGAGCATTATTAAGGGGAAAGAAAAAAAAAAAATCTCACCACAAAGATCAAATTTTACCTGAGAAGATGACTTATTTCGTAAAAATAAAAGAAGTCATGAGAATCTATCATGTGTATTTCAAAATGTTGACAGGACTTGGTTCATATGCTCCATACTTCTTTTCACTCCAATATTAAAGTGAAAGAATAGGATTGAGAACTAGAACTGATTTCATAGATGATTTAAATCAGGGGTTTCAGCCCAGGCACTATAGCATTTTGCACCAGATAATTCTTTGTTATGAAGAGCTGTCCTGTGCATTTTAGCAGCATCCCTAGTTTCTACCTGCTAGACAACAGGCTCTTCCACTACTCAGCTGTGACAGTCAGAAAGCCTCCAGATATTACCAGATGTTCTCTGGGGAACAGAATTACCCCTTGTTGAGAGTGCTGTTTTATGCCATGGATACATTTCATGTTACCCCTTAGTAACATGGGATTCTTAAGAAGGTTTGAGGAAGATGTTATTCCTCCTCAAATGCAGGGGTAATAAATTTAATAATGGTGTCTGCAAGGCTAAATTTTTTCAGCATGAAGAACAACATCTGTTCCATTTACTTAGATGCTAGTCAGAACGAAATGATATGGTTGTTATATCATTTGCACTTGATAAACAATATTTTCATATAGGTAAAAAATATAAATATCATGAAATTAGAGATTTCTCAGATTAGTTTTGATCTAATTAAGAGCTTATTAACTATGGCTATTCTCACTGCTAACCAGAAGGCTGGCAGTTCAAACCCACCAGCCACTCCTCGGAAGGAAGGTTGGGCATTCCTACTTCCGTAGTGATACTGCCATGGAAACCCAAGGAGGGGTCGCTATGAGTCGGGGCCGACTCGATGGCAAATAACAACAACAACATTCTCACCCACTAACAATGAGTCATTTCCAACTTATAGCGACCCTATAGGACAGAGGAGAACTGCCCCACAGAGTTTCCAAGACTGTAAATCTCTATAGAAGCAGACTGCTTCATCTTTCTCCCATGGAGCAGCTGGTTGGTTTGAACCACTGACCTTTTGGTTAGCAGTTGAATTATTAAATTACTGTGCCACCAGAGTTCTTAGATGGCTATTAGGTCACTATTAATCTTCTTAAATACATTTATAGCATTTAAGAGCTCTACCATGCTCTTGCCCTTTTTAAAATTAGATATAAGACCAATCTGTTTTCAAATTCACCACTTAGTAACTGTGTGATCTAGGGCAAGCTACTTAACGTCTTCAAGTTTTTCTTTAGTCTTATGTAAAATTCAAATGAGAATTTAATCCCCAGGAAAATTAAGAGAGTCTAAATGAGCTTTGGTGTGTATAGGGCTCAGCTAATAATACATGACCAATAGAGAAATTATTATTAATTATAAAAATTGTGGTAAATTTCATTTTACAGAAGTTGAATCCTTAATTTTGGGGATTGGTATTCACAGTGCTGGCAGGGCAGAAATCTTTTTCTACTCTGTCAATTAACGACCATACAAGGGATATATGGAAGACTTTGAAAACAAAAATTTTCTGATATCTTATTCAGGTTCAGAGACTGTTTTACGGTATTCATTTGTGCTAGCTAATTTCTAATTTTACCTTACATATACATGAATCTTCTTCCAGCTGAATGACAAGTAACTTCACTGGAAGTATTTTATTTTGTGTTTTGCTTTCCCAATTATCACCACAGAAAGAGTGAGAATTATAGTAAGTACTGAATCTTACAGTTTGTATAGCTTATATTCTTCAATGCCTACGGAACTTTGAAATATAAAAATAATCCAGTAAGACAGTTAATCATCAATCTGAAAATTAGGAAAACACATAAGCACTGCAAACAATTCTTAAAAACACAAACCATTTTGTCTAAAACCATCAAATTAGCCAACTGTTCTCACCGGGCTACATACCAGGAACATTCTGGCATTTGGTAGTCTTTTTGCACACCACCACCAGAGCTCCTAAAACAGTAAGGATTTTCTAATTTCTACTTTGTTAGTAGATTATGCTTTTGGTTACTCACTTTTTTCTTTTACATTTGCAAATACCACTTGGGCAGTAATAATTGTCTTTAGCCACCTGAATTTTCAACCATCATTGCAATGTGGAAAACGGCACCTACCCCTATAGTGTTTGATTGTGTCAACGGTTAAGAATTTCTTCACCACAAGATAAGCTGAGCCAGGTTCAGCTAATGAACTCCACTGAAGCACCTGCTCCAACACATTTTCTGTGTAGTGAAGAGGGCGCTCTGCAAAAAATAAAACCCAAAACAAATTGAAAAGAAAAAATTTAAGGTATCAATTTTTATTTTAAGAAATCCTTTAGAGAAGTTCTGCTTTACAATACATATAACTATAGCTTGTGCAACACAATAATAGAGACCCTAGCACCCAGAATGAAATAAAGCATAAAATGAAATTTATTGCACAAATGAACCTGTGTAGGTACACTTGCTTGTTACTCAACAATTAAAAAAAGAAAATCAGATATGCTTTCCATGAGATCAATTCTTGGAATTAATTCTACCCTACATTCTTTACAAGTACTAGAAAAATTAATCTTGCTCTGTACTAGGTTATGCATAAATTAACCCTTTGCTTACTTATCCCAAGAAACTTAGTGTCTCATATTTTCTAACCAATACTAGTGAACAACTTATAGCTGATAATTGCCTAGTCAATTCATATGAAATTATAAAACATAACTTCCACATGAAATATATAAAGTAATTCCAAACTAGTACTGAGTCTATCCATGTTTAACTATTCATAGAAATATCAATCTGAAACATCACGTGGCAATATAATATTACACATTAACTGTTGATATAATAGGCTGACAAGCAAGAGATTAAAGGTCAGCTTAAAGAGATTTCCTTTTTTCTATCCTTGATGAATAGTCAGCCATATACATTTTGTTTCAGGTATCTGTATATTCAGATGCATCACAAGTTCTTAGCATAGAATTAAAAAAAATAGGTTTACAATTACAATCAAAGCTTCACAGGAATATCTGTACTGATCAAAAGATGCCAGTCAGTTAATAAAATGTAACAACAGAAGTGTATGCTGGGAAAAAGAAATCCAAACTTTTGCACTGAAAATAGCATAAGTGGAATAGTGGAATAAGCAAGAAAAGCAGCTCTGACACAAAGGTGTGGTGCGGCTTTCCTTCATAGCCATCTATATGTCAACTCAGCTCTCTCACACCCTCTTTTAGCACTCAAGCTTTTCCTTTTTTAGGTAATAATAGTCATGCTAAAGGCAAACAAAAAAGAACATGCCTATAGCATCATACTCATATATAACCCCATGGCATTTTAATTGGTATTGAAATTACAAGTAAAAAAGACCAAATACATCACACTCTCCTTAATATTGCTCTCTCCTATTATGACCCTATCATTCTAGAAGTCATCAGTAACCTCCAGGTCCATAAAAAGAGTAAGTTTTTTGCGTCAGTATAAATAACCAGATCATTGCTCCCTAGTCAGTAAACTGGAAGCCAGTTCTGCATCCTGTGCTTATTGAAACTAGCCACTCATTATGACAATGCTAATTTAAATAAATAAATAAAAGGAGCCAGTAAGCCATAATCTCTTAAAGGTAAATCTGTTTTGCTTAGTATTATATCACTTAGATCATAATGTTGTGCACATAATAGAAGCTTAATAAAATTTCGAGGGATAAAATACCTTATGAATCTCTTTGGTAGTTCATAAATGGACAGAAAGTATTTGCAGACAAGTTAGCATGCAAAATATAATTCTTTGTAAAACAAAGCACAAGCTTTTTGCAATATATCAATCTTGATTTTAATTTTCTAATAATTGTGCAAAAATCATCATTTCCCAGTTATATTTGATTGTTTATTAACTCATAAAATTACTTTCAATTAATAGAGATTAAGATCAGAATTAAATATATTTCAACATAAAAATAATTACAGAATGAGCACTATCTTTATGTCTGGTATTATATAATTCTTGGTTCTACTACTTGAGAGCTTTGTGATATTACTGTCTCCATTAGCAGTGGCTCATTTATGAATAACAATTAGGCACCAGGCATTATATACGCTGGATGTTGGACATCACTTATCACTTTCAATCCTCACAGCATCAGCTTTCCATAGAAATTATTATTCATATTTCACATGAATAAATAAACCAAAAGTTCAGAGATGTGAGCACTTGCCAAAAGACACATAGTTTGGTAAAATCAAGTCAAGTCATCTAACCTCAAAGCCGAAACTCTTAACTCTATATTACTAACTAGCTTTATTTTAGGCAGGCATGCTCTTCTATCTAAGACATTTTCTCACGTGTAATTTAGGATTAAAAAGTATCAATTTTACAAGGCATTTTCTGAGGAATGAACAAGATAACACAAACAGAAGCAAAAAATAGTGTCAGTTCCCCTTTTCCCTTCTCTTCCCTATCCTTAGTGGGACAATGGCAAGGAAATAATGGCAACATAGTTTCAGAATCCTATATATAAGTAGACGCTGCTGTTGCAGTTGCCTTGAACATGAGAATGGTATTTTTAATCGGAATGCAGTCACTGGATTGAAATAAAAGCTTACTTACATTAATTACAAGCGTCAATTGGTAATGAAACTTACAAATGTCAGAAAAAGTATGTTAAATAGGGCCAGTATTATAAGTACCTACTATAGTTGTAGCTCTAAAGTGTTCTTAGGTATAATGAAAAATACCACAGCAAATAAGAGACTTATCAACAGGTATATAATTCATTTTCTTTGCAAAACGTATGTGGAATATACTTTTCACATCAGTATCATAGTATGAAACACTAGATACAGAGCACAGCTGAAAAGTGAGATGAAAATATAAGGAATATTTATTAATTGCCAAAGGCTAGAAGTATGAAATGGCACCAAAATCTACTGCATACTTAAGAAAGCAACAAGAGGTAGGAAAAATCGATGGCATCATCAAACAGTTTTGCAATATAAATTCCTACAAATAAGCAAGTTTTATTGATAGATGGTTTACAACCATCTGTCATGAAAGATTAAGTACCTAGAGTACTTAAGTACAATGGGAATAGTAGAAATAAATATAATTCATCTCCCTATTATCTATGGCTAAAAATTCAGGGTCATGATTTAAAAAGAACAGATTAGTGTGGTGGTTCTTTATTTAACTGGGTAAAAGTTATCAATCGCTGAAAATCTCATTCACAGAATAAACGTAGCCCCCCTCTATAAATAGAGAGCTATCTCTTTTCCACCTGAAATAACAGCTGTCATGCTTAAATTTCTGGCAGTAGTGATAGCGGATTTCTAGATACAATCATGACTTCCCCAACAATTCAAATCTTCGTGTCAAACCAAGAGTTGTGTAAGTCTGTCTCTGTCCTGTCCACATAATCAGTGGGCAGTAACACTGTCTCAATCAAGAGTAGAAAGAACCTTGATTAAACTTACACAGTACTTCTTATCATAGTGGCTATGAAGAAGAAAGAAGAAATGTCTTGCTGTGATATTGCTATCAGTAGACAAAAGCCTTAACTTACAATTCTCATATTATTTTTATGCTTTAATCCTAATACTTTTTCTCTTCAAAAACAAAACTGAATAATAGGACAGTGGTCACAACTCAGTTCTAAGAACTGGGTACACAAGAAAGACAAAACCACAAAGAAAACTGAAGCTTACAGTTCCAAGAACACAGCTGAACATCCACTATCTTGACTGTTGCTACCAAGACAGCCATGGTCTGCTCTCCCACAACAGAACTGCTGATAAACTTCCTGCCCCCCTACTTAAATCTCCCAAATTCCCCACCTCGGGGCTGATGCACTGTTGAGCTCAGCCTAGGCTGACACCATTTTGCTCTCAGCCTGTCTGTGTGCAGATGCTTTAATAAACTTTCTTTCAAAACTCTACTGGACTGATTTCTTTCTCCCAACACCGAACCTTACAGCTATATAGACAGTTACTGCTTCATAAACCTCCCAGTGAAGCCCACTTAAATTAGACCCCACAAGCAGTTAACTCCCTCACCTCCCACCCCGGAAGAAACTAAAGGGTGTGGGTGATACATGAACAGAAGATGAGTTCAGTTTAAGCATTAAAATTATAGCACATTTTAGAAGAGTAGCTCCCTATAGAGGTGATATCATCTCCCAGGGTGGGTTTCAGGTCGTCCTTATCATTGGTGGCAATGGGTCAAAGATGCTTGCCATCCTTCCAGGAATCAAGAAACAATTGTTCTTAATCTAGTATGTTGTTGTTGTTACTATTGCTGTGGAGTCAGACCTGACTCACAGCGACCCCTCCTTGGGTTTCTGAGGCAGTATCACTACAAAAGTAGACTTTCCAACCTTCCTTCCTACAAGTAGCTGTTGAGTTTGAACCGCTAACCCCTTCTGGTTAGTAGAAGTCCTTAGGCACTATGCTACAAATATTTCACCAGATCAAAACTTAGAGGAAAAACCTACTTATAAATTACCTGAGCCTAGAATCCCCTTCACTGATATGTTCTCAAAGTATTTTCCATAGTTTTAATATGTATCTGTTTTCTCTAGGATTTTGATAACCATATAAACCAATAACATTGGTGCTTTGCCTTAATCAGAACTTCACTGAGAGTCGGTCACTATTTCAAGAAAGTATTTCAACAATGATGGGAATGTTGTTAATGCTTTTTGAGTTATAAATATCACACAATCATATCATTCTGCATTTATAGCTGTCACATCCATAATGACTGCATCTACAGGTTTAAGAACCTGTTTTCATTCTCTTCGACTATTTAGGCATGCTTGAGCATTTATATGTTGCAGTACATATTTTCCTATGATATATTTCTGTATTAGGGTATTTTATTCATTTGTATAAAAAATAAATAGATTATGTCAGAAAAGTAAAGGGAATGTTAGAAAATATTTATTATGCAAAGGGCATATTACATATGACAGGGTGAAGAACTACTTCTTTAAAAATTACAGTTACCTAAAATAAAGTTTTTAGTTTAAGCATAGGTACTGAAACAAGGCGGGCTTGTGCTTACTCACTGATCTGCACTGAACACTTTCCCTTGTTACCCTCCCGAGAGGGACCAGGTCTCCGGGAGCTAGGTAAGCACGGGCAGGCTTGTGCTTAGTCCCC